GCGAGGTATCCCGCTGTCGCCGTGTATTCCAGCGAAAGCCACAAATTTTATCGAACTACGGCGGAAATCGGTAAGCATTTGTTTTAAATAATTCTTGCAGTTTGAAATAAGGAGGATGTAATTGATTCCTGTTTTTATCGTTTCCCATCTATCATTATCCCAAAATCTAAATGGTGATTGTAATATTAGTGAGACCCAGAAGGAACGCTGTTGATCTTCAGATTTTCGATCTAAATTCCCATACAAAAAGGTGATTCTGCAAGGAGCCAGGCGTACTTTGTAAATGTCCGAGACAAATGTATTGTTAAGATCGTATTGGGATGGACGTAGGGATAACAATGAAACTGGCGATATTTTAAAATTAACTAAGGCTGTAGGAGGATAACATGAAGGTTGGAAATTGATGGATTGTAAACCGTAATATACAATTCCAACATCACAATATGGTACATTTGCAAGTAAATAATGTATATTCGGCAAAAAAATGGTAAACGATGTAACTATTTTCGTAATGCAGATAATTCCTGTAATAAAAAATGAAATATTTGACGGGCACATTTTAAACACAGAGACAGGACAACAGAATATTTTGAAAAATGCAAGGTTAGATGATCCAATTTTGTGAATACAAATAGCGTCAAAACTTGATAAATTTACAAAATGTTTGTTGAACATGACACATCCCTATATTTTCCAATTGCTGCGCATTTGCTATCTAGGGAAATACCGTTTTAGTTTCCAATCATATTTGATTACAATGTATCTGATATATTTGGTTGAGGTACATAGATAGTAATTATCTTTAGATTCATTTGTGGAATGAATTATGGAACTTCCTCATTTTAGATTTCAAGGTTCATGTAGTTATTTTTCAACAAAATTTTGCATATATTTATTACATATTTCGACCGGGTATATTATTACAGCAAAGTTTACTGTTTAATAGAATTTTCTGTCAAGTTTCCAGATGTAAATGCATGCAGTGATGAAGGTAGAAAACCCGAGCAGAAGTTAATTTATGCAACTGCACCGACGGCATATACTAGCTACATACATATATAACTATACATGCATAGATGACCTTCTCTCAATTCAACATGACAATAACGATGGTCAAGTTGGTGACGAAAGGATTCGACCTCTTTCATTAACCAATGGGCAGGTGAATGGACAACTGATGCAATTTTTTAGGGACGACAAAGAATAGAATGTAGGCGATGAAAATAATTGTATACATGCAAAATATACTCAAGAACAAATAGAAAGCTGGAGCCACAATTTTTGTTCAATATGCTTCTACAACCCATATTCACATATAGTCACCTGGCGAATATGGGATGCACATAAATACATATTAGAGTGTATCTCTATCCTTGCTGTTATAAATTGAGCTGTATAAAATCAGTACTATGAGTGAACATCAACGGACATCCTCGATCTTTTGGGCTTTAGTCCTCCAAGCTTTTGGCTGATGGCTTAATTAAATGATGGGGTTGACATTAAAAGTTAGAAAATTATACCCACCACAGTCTTAAATTTTGTCCACTACATAAATTGTGGTGGAAGATGTTCAAATGAGGGTATCAATTAAAATACCAATTGTATTACCAATTAAAAAGACTGAAATAAACAGAGCCTTAAAAAAGGACTGCTTAGGTGACGCTATGTACGATTAAAAGGATGGAATAACCCCCGCTCCTTACCCCCTCCCCACCGAATAGTTAGAGAAAACATGCATAAAATAAGCATCACCGCCCTGGGAAAAATTTCGAAATCAATTATGTAACCTTGGTAGCGTGGTAACAAAAAAAGTTACTCTTTTAATTTCGCTATTACATATATTACATCTCATCTTATCTCACAATATTTTAAAATATATCTCGTAATATTTGTCACTCCAAAAAATAGAGAAAAAAAAGTTAAAGACAAGAATAGAAAACCATCAAGGTACGGAAAGAATGCAATGGTATGACAAGTGCGGCCGAAAATTAAGTTAAATGTTTAATTTTGTTATATATGATGTTAAAGTTGTACAATATTTGTATAAAAAATGTGCATGTATAAAATACATAAAGTGAAATTCTTCCCAGGGCAGTGGTGCTTATTTTATCAATGTTTTCTCTAACTAGTCGGCGGGGAGGGGGTGGGGAACGGGGGTTATTCCATCCTTTTAATCGCACATAGCGTCACCTAAGCAGTCCTTTTTTAAGGCTCTGTTTATAAGTTCAAAATTTCGAAATCTGTTATTATTCTTGAAGTCCCACTAATTGACCAAAAATTGTTGTGAGTCATGGAGCTATCGGGGGGTGCACGGGGGTGTGGCTATCGGCGACTTTTTGAATATTTAAGGAAAGCATATCACGTGACAGTATTATTTCTCAATGGTGAAATTATTTCTCAGGAGAGAAAGACCGTTACGATGGTGACCTAGAATAACGAAAACCATACCCCCTGGTGGGTGTGGTTTCCTTCGATTTTGCATTATTCAAGAAAACCATATCATGCGACACAAATATTTTTTCAGCTAGGAAAGGCAACTCTGATGGTAAATTCCAGTTTTAAAAAACCATACCCCCAGGTGGGTGTGGTTTTTTTTAGCGATATGGTCACAGCTCAAGTAAACCATGTCATGCTATACATATTACTTATTGGAAGAGAATCGCCATCACGATAGTCATGTTCAATTTTCAAAAATCAAACCCCCCATCAGTGGTGTGGCTATAGCGCTTTTGGCAATATTAAAGTAAAGCATATCACGCGACACATATTTTTCATCAGAAAAGCAGGGACATCACTATGAGGACCAAGGATTATGAAAGACCACTCCCCCAGGTGGGTGTGGTTCTAAGTATGTTTGGGTGATATTCAACTAAATCGTGACCTACGACTTAAATAATTTATCACCGGGTAAATACTACTACGATGGCGAAGGTCACGATTTAATTGATCATCACCCAAACATACTTAGAACCACACCCACCTGGGAGAGTGGTTTTTCATAATCCTTGGTCCTCATAGTGATGTCCTTGCTTTTCCGATGAAAAATATGTCGCATGATATGCTTTACTTTAATATTGCCAAAAGCGCTATAGCCTCACCACTGGGGGGGGTTGTAGTTTTTGAAAATTGAACATGACTATCGTGATGGCGATTCTCTTCCAAGAAATAATATATATAGCATGACATGGTTTATTTGAACAGTGACCATTTCGCTAAAAATCACACCCACCTGGGGGTATGGTTTTTTAAAACTGGAATTTACCATCAGAGTTGCCTTTCCTAGCTGAAAAAATATTTGTGTCGCATGATATGGTTTTCTTGAATAATGCAAAATCGAAGGAAACCACACCCACCAGGGGGTGTGGTTTTTCATTATTCTAGGTCACCATCGTAATGGCCTTTCTCTCCTGAGAAATAATTTGTGTCGCATGATATACTTTCCTTAAATATTCAAAAACTCACCGATAGCCACACCCCCATGCACCCCCCGATAGCTCCATGACCTTCAACAATTTTTGGTCTATTATGGTTAATCTAACAAAGCCACAGCATTTTCTTGCTGAAAGGTTATGTGGCGTAGGCTGTAATGCTAAGAAGCATTGGAAATTTGAAATTCAGACATTTTTGCAATTTTGTACCGATTTTCAAAATTCGAAATGTTTTGGAAACTTTGGACGATGGGCTACAATATATAATTTCAAATTTTCGAAATTCGACCCCATTGACCTGTAATTAAGGTCACAAGGTCAAAACATGACGACATTTCCATGGTTCGTAAAAATTGGTTTTCACCAAATTTTATTTACAGGGGGTGTGCCCATCAGCGCTTTTGGCAGTAATCAATTTAAGTAGCTAGTGCGACACCAATAATTTATCGGGATGGAATGGAGACACCGATGGTCAGCTCAAATCACAAAAAACCACACCCCCAAGTTGGTGTGGCCTTGCACTCTTTTGGCAACATCCGCGCAAAGCATGCCATGCGACACAAATAATTTATCGAAATCCAGAGGGGACATCTATCATCACATCTAATTATCCAAAGCCACACCCCCAAGTGGGTGTGGCCGTCGGATTTCACGGTTATTCCCATGAAATATCATATAGAATACCAATAATTATCTGAAGCGAATGATTGCTTCAATGATAACGTGTGACACTGTGGTTCTATGCAAAACAAAAATTCGTGAAAAGCCTTTAATTATCTATAACTACATTATTTGGAGAATACCGCTGAATTGTCATGTAAGTTTCGAGATTTGTCATTTATCGATTATCATTATTAGTGTGATTGTGCATACAACTGCCGATAAAATATTTAACTAGAAGGTGAGTATCAATTTTAGATAAGCCGTTGTACGACATTTAAATAGGATCCGGATATTACAGTTAGGATTGCTTTCATCCACAAATATGCACGCTGAAAGATAATAACTATTTTCACTAATAACAGTTATTTTAGCGAGTCAGATATCCAAAATGTGTGATTTACAATGGCTCTCCCGAAAATGAATGGTGCACAAAAAGCAAGCAAATAAAATTTGTGATTTGTAATCTAACACTAGCGAACGACAATATCAACAGAATGGAGAGTATTTTTTTGCATATCATGTACCGACAACATAATTGTTTGATCTTTGAAAAACGGGTTTCTTTGCCAAAAATCACGAAAAATCAACTTTTTAACATTGGTCGGTATAGGGAAAACTCAAAAATTTGTGAAGAAAAATATCCAAAAAAAATCAACTTGTTACCATCGAGGTGTCCACAAAATAAAAAGGAAACACTCGCATTTTTAGAAAATATGAATTTTGAAAAAACTCGTCATATGACGTACTTATTTGGTCCTCAAGGGACAGTCGTCATGAACCGATTTTTTTCGATACGTGGTATTGGAGAATTGTTTTAAATCCCCGCCAACTTGTTAATTATTGGAAACTCTCAAATACGGGTCCGCCGACATACCATTGATGAATAAAGTAAAATTAATCCCATCAAGATAGTAGTGACTCAAATGTGTCAGACATATGTATTCGCTGAACACCTCACTTTACTGGCATGCATAAAAATCAGCTCACACGCATTAATATACATAAATGTACTAGTATTAGCCTCAGAGCAATATTTATGTATTTCTAAAAAATTCCAATATCAATAAAACCAAAAACAACAATAAACAAAAACAAAAACCAACAATAACCAAACAAATATCAAACCTAAGACCCAATTTACGATTGGGTCTTAGGCCAATTTCAATAAACCCGTTTTCCCGGATTTGAACCAACTCTTGTTTCCCTATCACATTTTTGGCTTCATATACATCCATTAATTGAGAAAACGGGCAACTCTGACCTTGAAGAAGTAAAAGATTAGAATTAAAAATGTCATTTTGTTGGTCAGCCGTTAGATTTTCAAAATTTGTGCAGTCATGTAGAACTAAAGGATGCAAAGTTCCAAGCTGGTTATCCCACTTTTGAAAAACCGTCAACACTGAGACAAATCCGATACGTTCCGCCACCTTTCTCCTTGTCAATCCGATAATTATATCTCTAATTCCAGACATAATTGGATGCTCGTTAACTAACTTTTCTTCCTTATCGTTTACTAATCTATCAAAAAATTCACCACTTTCTTTCCTCCCAATTAATTGCGACACTTCCCAAATTATTAGGCCTAGCGAGTACAAATCAGCTTGGTAGGAATAGTCTCGATACCGTGTTTCGGGTGCCATATACGTCGCCGTTCCCACATTGCTGGTAAGATTGCCAGTCTGACTCTGGTCGGAATGGAGGGTGCGGGAAAGTCCAAAATCCCCTATTTTAACGGGTGGTTTATACTTTCTCTTCGAAAACATGACGTTTTCAGGTTTTAAATCTCTATGAATAATTTTGCTATCGTGCAAATATTTCAGGCCAGTGGACAAATTTTGTACTATAGTTTTCTGGAGTGTTTGGACGTTTAATTGTTTCCCATTATGTTTTTCATTTAGCCAATTTCGTAAATTTTCTCCGCAAAGTTCCATCTCAATTCGGATTGAGGGTAAGGTAAGGTTCGATTTGAGTCTGTCCAAATACATCAACTTTAACGCTTGAGCTTCTTTTAGGTGTGACAAGTTCTTGAAAATTATTTCAATGTCTTCACATTTCAGATTTTTCTCCTCCATTGTAAATATTCGAACGATGTTTTCGTGTTTTCCTAACCGTTTCGTGATAGCACCTTCACGAAGGAGTTTTTCCCTTTCTTGGTTTCCCGATGGAAATATGAATTTTTCTGCGATTTCATTTCCGAACGTTTCAATTGATTTCAAAACGATGCCAAATGCTCCTTCGCCAAGGATTTCGATATACAATTTTTCCTTCATTTTCTTCTTGCTAGAAATGATATAATACAAATTAGTTAATTAATTACTGTCTACATGTACAGATCGTAATTTAGTTTATTCTTACACACAAAATAATCCCGGTAATCCCGGTGAAAACATTGTAAAATTATCCTTCACAATGTTCCAGTGGTGACTAATCTGATCTACTGAACTATAAAAATGGTAATACTTATTTGAAACTGTTAAATTAAACGTTGCTCCCGTATGGTCCTTACCAGTAACTGAGTTATGATCACAATACAATCATTTTTAATTCAAGTCACCCGTAAAATTTTAAAATTAATTAGAAATTTAGAAACAAATTTTGTAATATATGAATTACATAATTTAGTGTAATATGTGTTCTTCATGATCTGGAAAGTTCGTTTGGTTTATCAGCTTCATTGAGTTGGGTAAATTCGCTTGGTGCTTGCTTATCTGCAAAAATGAGTGATAACATTTCCGCGGATGGATACACTCTTAATAATCCGGTAAAGTCACGCAGGTAATGATTTCTCGGTAATAAATTTGGTAACAATATTTTACCTAGCAGTAAAAATTCGTTACCATGATGGTAAAACTTTATTACCACACGGGACAACTCATCATTACCACTCTGGTAGTCATATACTTGTGCTTTTCGGTAATGTTTATTACCACATTATTTACAGTGTATGTCTACAGCCAGATAAGGGAATTGAACAAACATAATGAAATATGAAGTTAGCCATGGAGAAATAGAAAGCTTACATAAGTAAAAAGTAACTGTACTTGCAAAAATATCGATCTGAGGAATTATTTATTTGCTCACATAAATTCTACCTGTTGTGCAAGACATATATATTCTTATAAAATGCTAAACCTAACGTTATGACTATTCGCGACTTGCGTAAATACAAAATCAGAGAAGCAAGGCAGAATGTATCTTTTTTTAACGCAGTTTATGTATTTGTACCCGGTATGTCTTTATTTAACCGAGTGAAACTGAGAGCTAAGACAACTTTTGTGTAAAATTTACCCAATAAAAGTTAAAATTTATTTAATGTTGTAGGATTTTCGCTCAACCTTGACTAAATTTTGCACAATCAGTTGTGTTGGCGCAAATTTTACTCAATCTTGAGCAAATCTTACTCAACTTTATTTAGAGTGTACCACAAAACGTGGTGTTAAAGGTTAAAATAGGCAAAACCCTAACTTATAATTTGTGAAAATTTCTTTGGAAATAATTCACTATTTCTTTTTTTACAAGGATTTTTCAAATATTTCTTTCATTTGTAATCGAACCCTATTTTACATGGCACATCATATTTACCTCGATCGCGATATACAAAAGTTACATTTGTGCAAGGATATTATATTCCTACATATGTACCGTAAAAACTCAAATAGTAGCCGGGGGCCACTATTTACGAAATTGGTAGCTGGGACTTCGCTACAACATTATTAGAGCAAGGCTACTATTTGAGTTTTTACGGTATATATTATTTGTCCTCTGCATGCATATCGTACTGGACATAGATACATATGTACCCGTATCTCTGGCAAGATAAATTTTTGCGTCTGGCTATTCTTGCGTCACAGGCTATTGACGAACGCGTTTTTTCCAAGTAGGCATTAATATCTGGTCTCCCTCTTCTCGATGAGTCCACTGTCGCCGGTATGACATAAAAATATCAATTGGCACGACTCATCTCCAGTAGATTTTCGTCTATTTGTGGGTGTAACACCTCTGGAAATTTAAACCCGGGTTAGAATGGGCTAAAAATATTATACCTGTTCATTTTCATTCACATGAGTGATTATGATCAAGAATGATCCTTTGAATGAGTTTTTATGACTTTCCTTTCATTGACTTAAAGTGAGTGTAAGATTCCCTCCTTTCAAATGAATGATAATGAATGTTTCACTCATTTCATTTTCCACTCTATGATTAATACATGGGGAGAGGTATGACATGAAGCCAAATGAAATGAATATGAAAGAAAATGACTGAACATGACTCAAAACCGTGAATCTGAAATCTTGATTACTGACTTTTGAGTGAAATTTTTTGTTCTGAACAGGTATATGCAAACTACTGTCCACCTCTGATTATTTACATACATCCCGCGTCGGGATTTCTGGTGATATCAGGTGAATGGTATCATCAGAAGTAATTTAGTGTAAATACATACATTAGCCACACATGAACACCATGCAGGTGTACCTAAAGGTACTCAAATTTACACCGTGCGGTGTTCCTATGTGGCTACAGGGAACTGGATTTGCACCAAATTATTTGCTGTGTACGTGCACACCCCAAGTAGTGATTTCTGCCGATACCACAATAATAATGGTATCATTGACGCAATTGCAATACGGCATATTTATTTTGTAGCTGTTTTATCTCTGGCAAGATAAAAAATCAATTAAATATATTTCGTCAGGCAGATCCTGAATAACATTCAACTTCGCATTCATACCTCGTTTTTTAGCCAACACTTGACTCCACAAAAATAGTTAAATTGGTGTCGCGTTACATATTTATGACAATAGAGTATTTAGTCTCCATCATTTGAACACAAAATTAAATCATAAAACTTTACCAAATTTTTAATTGTTCCTAAAATAAATAACGGCCACTTATATAAAACTTATTAAGAATTTTGTGAAATGTTACGACTCATAATAATTTTACTCGCGCCTTTCTTCATCAGACAAACTAACGGGGTCGACTTTATCCTAGAAAGTGATCAAGACTTCCAATAGTACGGATTTACTTGTTTGGTCGTCAATTATTCCGGGGAAACATGTCAGCTGAAAACTGTGCCTAGTCCGGCCGAAATTACCGAACTATTTCCCACCCAGATTTCGAACCTTGTCGTGGACCGGAGAGGATGAGACGCGAGGTGGGAGAGTATTCTACGTGGAAGGGAGTAAAATTGGAAAACGCTTCTTATTAAGGGCGAATAGCACGATGCTTCCAACCGGGAAAATTATTATGATAAAATCCGCCAAATTTTATACAGAGGTTTACAAAGGATAAGACTTATTTGATTACGCTTTAATATTTAGTCGAAAGTCAGGGGTAAATTGACACATTTATTTTTATTTGTAAATACCTCTCAGAAAATCGGTGTTAAAATAATTCCAAGTGGTACAGATCATGGCTTTATGAAATTTGGTGTTTACAATTTCGATAGTACATTTTTATGCACTGGTATAATTTAGAAACCGTTCGGTGGCAAGTTACATGTAACCGAGAAACCGATACCTTTCGTATAGCAGATTTCTAATGAATATGTGCGTAAAATCAAATCTGTTAAAAATGGTCACATTTTTAGTTTGAAAATACATAACTTGCAGAAGGGGTACGAACCTGAGGGGTGGTACTATCCTGGCTCTGATCCTGAATTTACGGGGACCTGGATATCAGCAAAAAAAGGTCCAATCGACTCATTTTCTGATAAGGTGCATAAATATAAATTTCCCGCCCTTTAGAATTGCATTCATTCATTTACTAAGAATCATAGGTGCGCAGCTTCCAACCGCTCCCGCCTCTGGCTTCCGCTTCCGACCAAAATTTTGGCTCCCAGCTTCCAGTGCTTCCGCTTCCGACCAAAAATCGCTGCTTCCGACTTCCGGAAGTCGGAAGCTGTGCACCTATGCTAAGAATGCCGCGGGTAGTGGTTTGCCCGGGTCGGGTACTACTCGAAGAATTTGTCGAATTATCCGTCCCCGGCCAGGTACCATACCGGGTCAGGTAATCGCGTTATGACCAAAGTCCAGTTTTTTTTTCTGGTACCCGAAATACTGGTAAAATTGGCCGGGTAATGGGTATCCAACCATTACCCGCGGCACCCGTATCATTTATTTCGTATCACAGATCTACATCGTCCTAACCCACGACCAATTCAATGAACTCACCGTTTTCACTAGTATCCACATCCTGTTGGACCCACCTCCCGTCAAAATCGACGAAATCAACCGGCCCGCCGACTTTGTCCGGCTTGGCTTCACTTTTACCACGCAAGACGCCGAAATTAGAAACGTGTCCAGTGGCGCCTAACTTCCCGGTTATTTTCCCCAATCGTACAAATCTTTGCACGTTTACGACGGCGAAACCATCATGTGGCTCGAGGTGGATGAAACGCTACCCTTTCGGCGCCACGGATTTTACTATTACCCCGAATTACCGACAATGACAATGACGACAGGGCGATGCAGATGCATTACTTCGTCGAATCAGATGGCGTAGGATTGTTCGCGTATAATAATCATGTCAATCAAATGTCAGTATTTACCAAGATTTCGTTCACTTATTACTATTGGTAGGAGGATGTCGTGACGACAACGACGCCGAATTTACCCTCGACAACGACAACACAGCCGACGACATCTACGGCGACTAACAGACAGACGACTACTCAACAAACAACAACGCTTATCGTTCCTTCTTCGAGCGTTTAAACGACCAGGACGACGACATGGTCCACAACTCAACCTACAACTCCGTCCAGCGGAGTTCTGTTAACTGATGAACTGAACATTATTCTGTTTTCGTTCTGGACGACGGGATTTCTTGCATGCAAATTCAAACTAGTGGATTAATTGGCCTTTAGCGATGTTACATTTTAAAGTCAAATATTTATAGAATTGTGCCAAACGATGCTTACTCGTAGTTTATGTGAATATCTGTAATCATACGTGTTCGAAGAAGAATTATTCATTCAAATATTCATTCATTCACATGTAGTATGGGTAACATTCGTTCAAATATTCATTCATTTATTCAATCACTCATTCATTCATTCAAACATTCACTCATTCAAATATTCATTCATTTATTCAAACATTCATTTGTTCAAGTATTTATTCATTTATTATAAAATTGACGTTTACTATCACAATATTTGCTTAAATCATTTGTTGATTCAGTAGCTTGAAATTTATAATATTCATATACGAAGTCATGTACAAAGTAATTATTCATATGCGGGCTAACTAGAACTGCAAATTTAACAGACCTTTACAAGGTAATAAAGAAATTATTTGCATCAAAAAGGTTCCCGGAATGTAATGATGTAAGAATACATGAAAATTTCTACCACAATCACAATGAATGAATGAGAAATGTCAGACCGCATATCCTCATTCACTTCAGATTGAGATAAATGAGTGACAAATTTATTCATAAGTCGTTTAGTATATTCACTCATCCTGTTATTCAATTAAAAATTTTATTCATTCATTCAATATTCATTGAATAAATGTATGGACCATATTTATTCATTCAAAATTCATATGGTTTTGAATAATTCACACTCATTCATTATTCAAACTCACTTTATTGAGTGAATGTGAACAGGTATGTCTGTAATATAGACAAAAATATTTGTAAATTTGCCTTGTAAAAAGTTTAGCCCCAGTTCGGCCTTTTTGTTGCACCTTAATTTTTTAAACAGGATCATATATCTTGTACAAAATTTTAGAAATTTTAGAAATTTTATACATTTGGGCTTTCTCGTGATAGTGCTATTTTCTCCAACTTCAATAAACTCAGGTCGCCACATTCAATTTTACATTAGGCACTAATTACTGACCAACTAATCCTAAGTACAAGAGGTTGCGAAAGACCCCAAATTGAAAAAAAGATGACGTGGATCTGGATAAATTAGTGATCCTATCGGGTGTCCAATACCGATTTTATGACATTGTGTTAAAAACCTGAAATTCGGTGCCAAATTATAGAAATCATGTATGTACCACACAATCTCCATCCCGAAGGGTTTTAATAAATAATACTCCGCTTAAGACAAAAAAATAAAAGTGTCCCTGACTCGGGTTAAATGAACACTGCACACTGTACGTTTTCATATGGGTTTTTAACACTAAATACTCATCATTGCGTAAATCCCAATAGAAAACCAAGCTTAACAAAGTCACAAAGTACAAAAAACAACATGCCTGTTGCCTTTTAACCTGTGCACAGGTTAAAAGGAAAGTCATGTTTTTTCTGATAACGCTGTGTCAGAAATGCGCAGCTTATCAGACCTGATGATTATCTCTTAAGTCCAGAATGTGGCGTGATGCAGGGAACACTGAGATTTGGGAAACTCCAAAGTTACACAAACAGTTCACTTGAACAAATTCGTCTCAATTAAACGATTTCAGTTAATTTACCTCGGCAATAAATACAAGCCCAACTTCGGACAAAAGTATCATTCGCAAACTTATTTGGGCATCCGAAGCTTGCCTACTTTCTCGAGGTATGTACTAATAATCCCACTTCATTATGGTTGAATTTAGTTTTAAAATATTTAATTTAGGTTGTAAACCAGTCCTAAAATCTCTAAATTAAAATTTGTAAACCGTTCCTAGATGCATCAAGAAACACGCTTGAAGTGTGTATTAAACATTACAATCTCAATTTGTCTCTTGTTTTTTTTATTTGTTTTGTGACTCTCGTAAATACAATACTTATTTGTACAATTCTAAAATCTCCTGACTAGGTAAACTACCTAGTAATTTGATAAATTTCGCATAGATATTCCCACAAACTCGAGAGTTTCTCGAAAAAATATAAATAGCCTCAAAATCCAACCCTTTTTTGTCCCATTAAGTTTACTTGACTTCAGAAACGTAAAATTCCAGATTAACCAAAATCAATCGGTATTTCCCCCTCACCAATTTTATTGATTATTTTATTTCTACATTTTCTTAACTTGAAATTTCTCAAAAAATTACTAAATACCTCGTTTAGCCATCACTACCACCATGTCTACCCAACTTTTCGCCATGGCGACCATCTTAACCATCGCCCTGGCCACCTGCGCCCCACAATACGGCGAAGTTTGCAGCAGCGTTAACCAATGTACCGCCTATTCCGTTAATTTTGAACAAAGCGTTACTTGCATGTTTCGCCCCAACGCTACCAATCCGGTCGGATTATGTTACACGACCGCTGTGGCGGCAGGAAAATGCGCCTGCGCGAGAAACTGCGGCGCATTCGGCGATCATCATGAAAATGGCGAATATTCCCCGGCAGACGGTCACTGCGTCGCATTTGTGGGCAGACGATGTTACAAATACTGGCCAGTGAATGACTGTGTCGAAAATGCTTATTGCCCAACCAACAGCAGCTACTGCGTTTGCAGTTTGGGATTCGAAACCGGACCGGATGGCAAGCATTGTGTGGCTGCTAAAAAATAAATGACATATTTTTTTTTCTACCGAATTTTGAAATAATCGAATAATTCGACCGTATAAAAAATAGCAACGTAATAAATATTTGGTTTTTTTGCACAAAGAATCATCGTTTTCAAAAATCCAAGCAGCAAATTTCTTTCGCATGATAATGAATTTCACAGTTAGTTTTTGTTAAAACTTAACAAGTTTGAGTCCCACCCATAATTTTCTAAATAACCTTTTCCACCCAATTTTTACGGATAACACGAAAGGCAACTTAAATTATTATGATAATTGGTCTAAATTAGTTAAATTGTTGGGACGAAAAGCGGGAATGTCTCCGTTAAAAATCCCCGGTGGGAAATGTGAAGGTAAAAATGTGGCATTTAAACATGTTTCTCACCGTTGACACCGTAACGGCTGGGGCACTTTTGTACGGCCTGCTTCAAGTGTTGCGCGCCACACCGGAAGAACCATACATGCCGTTGGAAGTAACGCTAATCTTGGCGTTGTTAGGGGTCCTGTCATACTATGGGATTGTAACCCATGTCATGATCACGTTATACGGGAAGGATGCGGTTAATGCGTGTAATGAAATGGTCAAGCTTGAACGACAACGGGTGGAATGGATGGCGGAGGGTAATTAGATAACAATGGAGAGTATTCTCCCAGCGTATTCTGACGATACTAGTGCGCTTCATTCACAAATTTAATTAGTATTTTCAAACCTCCATAACTTTCACAGTTTCCGTGGGATAGACAAAATTTTGGGCTTTATATGATCCCAAAGGTGAAAAGGTTACGAATCAAATACAAAATTTTTACTTTGTGAGATTTCGACGAATATTTAAGAAAATCACAAAATTTTGACAAAAATTGAAACCCTCAATTTTTTGAAAAGTTTCATTGCACTAGAAAGTTGAACTATTTGTCATGATCTTTGTAAAAATCTTGAAAATCCGCCCAGGATTTCAATACGTATGGTGAGTATTCTGTTCCTTTTCTTTAAAAAAAAGTTTTCTTGTAGTTTGTAAAAATAGGACAACAGTCGTTAATTGAAACTTGGGTCAGCACTACTTCTGTCAAAAACGAGTGAAAGGTTTGCCGTGTGTTGAAATTCCTGTCAATTTAACAAACATTTTTTGTGCCTTATAGTTTGTAAACCAGTCGGATCGACTGAATGTGACTAACACTTGAATAAAGGCAAATTGACATTTCAACCTTATTCGTATACATAAATATGTCGGTCTGCGATATACTTGACAACTAGAAATGACATTTTTCAAAGTACAGGTTAACGCATCCCCTACATTCTCACCTTCTTACAATGCGATGGTGTGAGGTGCAACTTTTCGATTTGGCTGAAATTTTGGAATTATGCAGTCCCAGTCAATACAACCAACGTTTTTTGAGGCATTTTGTGCGATGGTTGGATCTTGTCAAAATATTTTTGGTCAAAGTTGAAAAACGCGCGATTGTTACCGAGCAATAGAAGAAAAATCCACTCCCATTGCTTTCAAAGGGAAAAAATTTCCGATTTTTCAACTTTGACCTCAATATTTTGACAAAATCCAACCATCGCACAAACTGCCTCAAGAAACGTTGGTTGTATGGACTTGGACCACCAAATTTTAAAATTTCAACCAAATCGGAGAGTTTCACTTCACACCATCGCATTGTTAGTCAAAGTTGAACAAAGTGGTACAATTTGTACGTAGCTGGTTATTGGAACAAAAATGAATTCTGGCAAGATGACAGAAACTTTGTTTGTACGTGAAGCACATAAACTGACGTGACAATTTATAAAATCGGCCTTCAGTCATACTTAACTATAGTTCAGTAGTATACCACTTGGCATGCAAAAACAACTTTATTTTCTTGAAGGATATCCACTTGTCACATTTATTCAGGAAAACCATGGAATTAATTTGTTATTTAAAACTTTAGTATGGGAAAATACATTATTAACTTTTTATAAACTCCAGTCACGTGCCTCCATTAGTTTTGTTAAACTATGTAAAATTATGTAATGGACTTTATAAGTTACAAATGATTACGTGAATTTCTCCAGTTTGTTGCCTTCTGCTCTAAATTCATCTCCCCAAAATGACGAATTTTCATCCCTCAGCTTCTCCCCTATTCGCCTCAGTTCACGAAATATACTCGCACTGCACCGTTACCGCAATCCTGCCTTCGAAACCGGATCAGAATATAGTCCCCCTCCACCCGATACTCTTGTACCTCAAGGATCATGTTCAATCCTTACCTACATCCACGACTCGTGACAGATTCCTTCTAACTAAAGTGGCATTTTCGAAGCGCCGACAACCCCAGAGATTCTGCAGGACGTACATATTTCCGACCCTTTTCGTAAATTTATTCGCTTTAATTTACTCCCCACTGTTCCCTCCCCTTCTGGGATCGGCTTATTCGACGCAAATAATTTCGCTAACCTCGCTCAAATTAGCGCATCAAGAGATGCAGCTATTGTCCAGGAACGTGCTCTCCACCGACATAAATTACTGGGGCTGCCGAGAATTCTATTTGGTGACGGAAGGGGTACGATTTTATCACTTGAATTGGTACGATCGACGAAAAAAACGGATGTCTGAATTTGGTGCATTTTCCGAAATTCCGTGCATATCGGGGAGGTGTTTTGACTCTGTTGAAAAAATAGGGGAAGAAGTAGCCGCCAAGTACAATTTCATTTCATGGGTTTACATCGGCTGGATGGACGGTGACAGTAGGACGGGTAGCTTCACCCCGAAATTCCGCGCTATTCACGCCAAGTATTTTTCCTCACGGGACAAAAAAAATGAGTGGACGCAGTTCCTCGCCAAAGAAAAAATAGAATCGTTTGACGAATTCATGGCGTACGTCGTGTTGGCCGAGGCGCTAACGAATGCGACACCAACGACGGAAAAGATTAGCCTTAAAGAGAAATACGTCTACCGTGGGGTGCACAATGCCATGCGGATTGCGAACCCGCATCAAATCGTTCTCTTTGGAAGTCGTGGGTACGGTTTTTTATCGTGTTATGGCATAAAGGAAAATCCATACGAATTTTTTACCAATCCGTTTGATAAGTTTGAGTGGATGTCAGTTTTCCTGGCTGTATTTGCACTTGGATTGATCAATTCTGACCCAGTGGACGTTGCCCTCGCTGGTTTTGCCGTTCTGCTCGAAATATCCGTACCGCTAGCGACCAAAAGAAGTGTGCCGGGCAAAGTAAAATGCATCTTTTGGCTTTGGGTGTTTGCCGCGATTGTGTTAACCTCGCTCTATAAGGATGCATTTACTACGGAATTAATTGCCCCGTTTAAGAGGAGTTTAACATGGCGGCATGTGCACGAGTTGGGAGATCAGGGTTTTAAAGTCTTTTTACCCCTGAAGCCAAACGATGCGGGGCTGGCTGAGTCTTACTCGAACGGAGCACAAATTAAGGATTTGTTTGCGTTTGATTTTTCAATGGATATGCAAAAAATTACGGGAGGTGATCTAACCGACTTGCCGCGTCTGTTGGGGCACAGAAGATTCGCGACGGCGGTGTTAAATACACTTATCATGGGGAGAAAGAAACGGATTGGAGAAAAGTTGACGAGTGCGTATTTCCATTACAAGTGGCCAGCTCATGTTTACCCGAATTTGTCGAGGTGCGACAAATCTGCGTATTTGGATGAGAAGGAGAACATCAAGGTGAAGGAATTAAGATACCAGGTTTTTAATCTCAAGTTGCCCTTATAAAATATCTGTAAATGTAAATTGATAACATGTCATGGGTTTTGAGATAGATAGTTTTTCATGCTCCATTGTAAAGTGATTTTTTGGTAGCACAAAACAGTCGATTTGGAAAAAAATTGTAGTACCAAAAAGTTAATTTGCATTAAATTAGAGAAACATGCATTTATTATTGCATCTCAAAACTCGAAAATGAAGGGAGTTTGGAAATTCGCGTTAAAGGAGATTGAGCAGGGGTTAAGTGAGATTAAAAATCTATTCGTAATCAAATCGTAATCCTATGCAAATCTAAGGTTATCCTTCCTTTCTTGAATGACAACGTGGATGGGATCGTATTCATGGAGGGCGGGGCAGATGAAGATTTTCTAGTGACGAGGCAGGAAATTCGAATCGAGCCGACGCCAAGACAAAATTACGTCCTGAAGAGGGTGAAATCCCTCATCGTGTCGGGAATATTTGGCTGGTGGCAGGACTGGTTTAGTAGAACCAGGCCAAAAAAATTATTTCCGTATTATGCCAACTGGACCAAACCGAAGGTGGAAAGGTTGGACAAGTTGGATTTTGGGGCAAGATTTGTCACCATTTTTAGGATTTGGGCCATTTGTTGTACACTTTGTGGAGCAGTGGGGTTTGTAGAGTTGTCTTCTTCGGCAGTAATGGACAATTTTAAGAAAATTATGGCAGGGGTAAAATTTTGAAATTATTTAGATACAACCATACATTAAAAATTATTATTAATCATATTGAATAAATATTAACGTGCTCTAACAAGGGACACTATTGGCACGGGTGGAGCGTCCAGGGTACCCACTATGTTTTTTAGAATCTACTAGGACCCTAGATGAAGGATACATTCGTATTTCCGTGTAAAACTCATATTTGGCGCCGTGGCGTGGCGCCAAACTTAAAAATTTGCGTTTTCGACCAATTTCAAACCTCAATAACTTTTGCAATTTCCATGGGATCTTCAAAATTTAGCGCTTAAAATGATCACAAAGGTCAAAATTTTAAGAAAAAATTAAAACATTAACAATTTTTATTTTTCGAGATGTTTAGGAGATTTTGTCGACGAAACCCATGCCTCAAAATTTTCGAAAAAAATGAAACAATTAATTTTTTGAAAAATTTCATAGCATTCGAAAGTTCGACTCATTGTCATGATCTTGGCCAAAAATTTTGAAAATCCCTCCAGGATGTCAAAAGTTATTGCGGTTTTAAAATTAAAAACATTCAAGTTTGGCGAATGTGGCGCCACGCCACGGCGTCAAATATGAGTTTTACACAGAAATACGAATGGATCCTTCATCTAGGGTCCTAGTAGATTCTAAAAAACATAGTGGGTACCCTGGACGCTCCACCCATGTCAATATTGTCCCTTGTAAGTTT